ATATCAGAAGAAATGTGAAATAAATTATGACAATAAACTGTCACGCCCTCTGCAGCCAGAGGGCGCTCCTTCTCTGTCCTGTCCCTAGTTTCCGGTCTGCTGTCCTTCCTGTCCTCGCTCAGCATTGATGTTCGGATGTCCTGAGACCCGCCTAGCACCAGGGCGCCCCACGTCCGCTCCCTGAGGGCATAGGTTTCTATACGGCATTCCTGAACTCTTTGCACTAATGAGCCCGGGCCTTTTTCCCGTCTCGCCGCTACGCATATGGGTCTTTTTCCGCTCTCCTGCTCCCCACGGTTAGTCCCTTTGGACGTCCGTGACAAAATTAGAAACCAGTCTAAATATTTCATATCAAAGCATTCCAAATACATTTTACATTCAAATCTGATATTATCAGATTGTACATTTTGTCAGGAGACAATCATCTGGACTGCTCACTCCTAACTTTTTGACCAAGCGTGATTTCATGCAGACAGTCCCCATAAGCACCAAAGCTACTGCAGCTGATCCTCACCATACCAGTCACAACAACATTAGTTGAAAGGATATATTCTGCAGTGTGATTTAATTAAAACCTACAGCCAGAATGTGACTGACCTAGAATGGCCCTTATCCGTGAGGCTGGTTTCCATTGAAAAGGAGAGCCTTTTGAAACTTGCGGCCAACAAGGAGCAAAGCTACAATGCTGTAAAAGATATCTTTATCCAGAGGGAGAGACAGATGGCCTTCATCTACTAGTAAATATGTAAGTACAAGTATTTATCTACTTTTCAATTCCCGGGTATTATTATTTCAAAATGTTAATACAAATTATATCAGTGTATAGTTATAACAATACTGTGGACAATAATAAACCCCAATTTGACAGTGAGGTTAGATGATATGAAATCCAGAGCTATCAACTGGTTGAATCTTGCAGTTACATCAGGGTTTTTATTGAGGTACATCAAATACAACCTCCATCCCAGTCGCATGTCAAATTATAACACTCCTAGCAATAAGCTTGCCCTTCGAGTTGATGTAGACTGGGGTATGAGAATTGTTAGTGCCTACCCAAACACAAACGTCACCACATGTTACTGGGTAACAATCAGCTATTTCAAAATATGTAAATGATAATTGGCTATTCTAAATTGCATGCATGATACATACAAATTGAAATATACAGTTTGTATATTACCATCCATCTATTTTCTAACCACATTGTCCAGTACAGGGTTGCAGGGGAGCTGAGGCAAGCAACAGGTGCAAAGCAGGGAACACCCTGGATGGGATGTCACACACAGACACAAACAAACACACACTCACACTAGTGGTCAGTCTTCCAAGTATTTGGACTGTAGGAGGAAACCAGAGCACCTGGAGGAAACCCACTTGAACACAGGAAGATCATACAAACTCCACACAGACAGCACCCCAGGTCTGGAACTGAACCAGGGCCCCAGCAGTGTGAGGTAACAATGCTAACCACAGCACCCTAATTGGATTAGCCAACATTTAAAAACATTTCTGCACAAAATCTGTTTTTTTAATAAATATATGAGCTTTGCAAACATGTTTTAGAAGGTGAGGGTCAAGACTTAATGTCATTTATTTTTATTTTCAGATTTCCTCCTCAACCTAAATTCATTACTAGCCCTCTGTGCCCGCAAATGATATTTAACAGACTAAGAAAAAAAATGAAGAAAGGTGTTACGTGTTAGGTCAGTATGAAGAAAAAAAGTCTCGAAGAAAAATCAGGTTATGGAAATTTTTCATTGTCTCTCAGTCAATGGTTGGTTCAGACTGAAGCTGACTGCTGTGTAGAAATCACACACAGCGAGCAGTCAGATAAAATCCCTTGTGCAATTGAAAAAATATATATCCTCCATCAGTGTCTGCTGGGCCTAGTGGGACATCTATTTTTAAACATGAGGTCCTCAACATGGAGCTTCTATTTCACCTTAAGGAGTTCAGCCATGTAGTCAGCAGACTTCCATTTGTCACAGATGGAAAAGGGGCCTGTGATGCTTAAGATCCAAGGCAGACTTGAAGTAAACCAATTTCTCCTTTTCAGATTTAAATTTGTAGTATCTAATAATATTTATATTATTTCATATAACACCCACTTTTAAGCAGATGTGTTCCTTGACATTTAAAGCAAGTAAAAAGCAAGGTACTTCACATAAGTTTGATCTACATTAGAAGATAGTAGTGATTCATTAACTTTAATATGCATTTTGGGATCAATTTTAAAGCACAGATACACTATTTGCTCTGAAATAGTGTTTCTTTAAATACTGTATGTACTCTTTTCAAACTAGAGCCATTAGATACATACTGTACTGTAGATGTAATTTTCTGCTTAACAATAATTGTAAAAGTGTTTTATACTTAGTATTTTGTCATTATAAAAATGGTGATAGTTCGTGTATGCATTGGAGTGGGATGGAGTGGAGTGTATGCAGGTACTACTATCAAGAAGGTGATAAAATATTTGAGAAAATGTCCACACAAATATAGGAAATCAATCATTGTGGACACATTTGATTAATAAATCACTTTTAAATCTTTCAAGTCATAAATTTCACTTATAGTGAGATCGACTTCAGTGGAGCATAGAATATTAAAAATTGTATGAGAATCAAGTAATATATACGTACATGTGAATGTTTTTATACAACAGAAATCTCAGACATAATTCTTTACTGTATATTTCAAAGGTACATACTGTACACTGTAAAGCCACAAGTGACAAATAAGAGAAACAACAACACACCCTATGATACTTTTCTTCAATTTATTCTTTAATAAATATTAAAGAGTATTCTTTACTCTTAAGTATTAAGAGTAAATGAGAATGAGAATAGTCCTACAGTAAGTATTCTCATTTTTTGTTGTGGACAAACTATTTTGTCCACAAAAGGGGAACATGAATCAATACTTTAAGGTTACATCAATCTCATCTTTGAGACTAATAAAGATTTATTAAAATATCATACTACATCCTGTGTTCCATACAACCAACCATTTTTCTTTGCTGATTATGCAGTGCCTCTATAAGCGCGATTGTGGAGTGGATACACGCCGTCTGCAGTGCTCATTCGCTAATGAGAGAACTCCCACTACAATCACCTAGTCATCACACAGCCAGGCTCAAACCAGTGATGCCTAGGCACTGGGGCTCAGCTTGTGATCTGAGCAAGTACCATCACCGGTTAAGCCACTAAGAAATGCCCTGTTAATTTTTTCTTTCTTTTTGAAGAATGACTTCAGAGCACTTTAACCTCTCATTAACATGTTATGACATTAAAATATAGTCTTCTGTCTTTAAACTGTACTTTTAAGCACATTTGTTTTTGGGATATTTTATTTTATAATTAAATGGCAGGCTCTATACTGATTGCTTTAGTATTCTTTATAAGCTTTTAATTGGAGATAGTTTGATCAATATCTTAAAGTTTCAGCAAGGCTAGTCCAACACTTTCAATTCTGAATTTCAGTGAACCAATTAACTGTACGATATCTGTGAAAATCACAATATCATCATCTTTAAAAGTAAAAATTAAAATGATGAATCCTAAGGTTCCTTTTCTATACTTTCTAAAAGAATATTTAAGACATTTGTGTTTGATGGAAGAGAGAACAGTTTTTTAAATAGTTTTTGTTCTCTTATTTTCATTTGTATTCTCAGAATTAAGCCTATTGACACTTACTTAAACCTACCTTTGTAAACTCTCAGTGAGAACACAGTAATTTAAACAGAACACAGCAGTCTTTAAGTGGCCATTGTTTTAAATGCAGTGATATTGTACAGTAACTACAAGAATGATGCTATTCATCAAACAATGTGCAATCCAACACACACAAAATCAAGCATTCGCCAAATTGAGCACACAAAGCAACTTTCGTGAGTAAAGGAATACGTGAATAATGATATATCCCATGGAGATCAATAAACAAGCATGAATAGACTGAGTTAGACAAATAGCTTTTTTGGTTTTATTTTTGCTCTGAAAGAGCTTAGGGAGGCAGAATCAACACAGCCTAGAGAGTTCCTGATTCTTCTAATAACCCATGCAGGACATCCAGGACCTGACTGGGAATTGATTTGCAGTACAGAGTGCAAGCAGACTAGACACTCTTGAGAGCAAAGGCATGAACATTGTGCTTACATTCAAACTAGAGACCTGTATATGCTGGAAAGTGATGTACTGTATATTGTTTTTTTAAGAAACAATACAAAAGCAAAAATGCATGACAATGTAACATACACTCGTCAGCATGTTTCTGTCTGAGCTACCAAGCGTTTGCCCAGGGTTGCTTATTTCTGCTCTTCACATCTAAAAGATTTCAAGCATGTAGACTAACTACAGTCCTAGATAGAGGACAGACTACAGAGATAGTGTACTGTACATTAACCACCTGGCAGATGCCTCACAGAAAAGAAGGTAGAAAGTCATGCAGTACAAGCTTCTTGTTAGAGTTTGTTTCTGAAACATTAATGATTCACATCTGGTTGCCTCTTGTTTTACTTTCCTCTTTGATCTCATAAAGCTAAGATCATTTGCTATAAATCTTTTGAACTAAGGACTTATTTTTTCTCTTTAATCACTTTTAATTCATTACTATTCTGTTGTTTTGAGCAATTAAAACACTGGATAAAACAACTCAAAATTACTTTTGTAAGCTTCGCATATAAAATACGTACAGTATACATGTATGATAAAGCAGCTACTTTTGCTCACTTAAATAGATTTATTGTCTAGAGGGACAAAATGAGGAGAAATATATACATTAAAAATATATATACATCTTTGTATTCAAAGATATGAATTCATTGTGAGTTTTATGATTTTTCAAATTTGCTCTCTATTATCTGTTCATAAAATCTAATTTCAAGCATATCATACTGAACTGAAACTGGAATTGTGAATTAATATTTTTGTGAAATGGATGGCTCTTTGGTTACTATTCTGCATTCTGCTTGCTGGCCACTTGAGAGCAATGAGAGTACTTACCCCATAAACATGCCTGGCACCTGCCTTGGCTGCAAACATGGAAAGAATCCCAGTGCCACTGCCCACATCCAGAACAATCTTGTCCTTAAAGACATGCTTGTTGTGGTACATGGAGTTCCGGTACGTGAGTGTACGGACTTCGTCCTTTAACATCTCCTGTTGAAATCATGAAGCTCTGTTTAATTTCATGGTTCTTTGCACAATACAAGGAAACTATGCCAAGACATCAGCAGTGGTACACAAAAATGGTTATCTTTTCCTTGAAAACATGTACAGTAGGTGTCACAACAAGAGTGCATTTGCGACAGAAGGATCAAGAGGAAACTT